GGCGCTCTATGACTGGTCCATTGAATTTTTTTTACATTCTTTAGCAAACATTCCTTAGCAAACAAAATTCGAATGTCGGACCTTGTGATTACTGGTATACTTTTATTGCTTAACCATTGCTCCAGAGAAAACATTTACGTCACCGATCGTGGGCCCGTTAATGATGTTGGAGCTAACTAATCCAACTGCATCAGATACCAGCTTGGTAGCTGAACTGGCCAAAACTCATCTCAAGGCCTATTTCGGTATTATAATTCACTGACGGAACGAGCATTTTGAGCGGAGTAACGATGAACTTTCACTCATTGTGACAATGTTTGCTTACGGAATTCGGTGGTATGATAGCAGAGGCATCTACCGATAATCTTTATGTGCTGGGTTCAAATCCTAGTTCGGTTGTCTTTATCGAATTGTGCAGTCACACGAGAGACCGGTTGGGAGCGAATGGCACGTAGCATTTCTCTGCTTCACCGATGATAGAACTGACTGAGATTCACTTCAACTTAGGTTGCCTTAAAATTATGCTTTGGTGCCGCAGTCCATTTACACGGTACTCTAAACAAACCAAGTTATCTACTTGTTTGGACAGATATCGAAGAAAGAGATCGTTTAAATCGCATGGAGCGAATAGATCATAGTGACGATATTCGCGGAATGTATTCCTAGTGTGTACGATAACGAAAATTTTGTCAACTTGATGCCGGTAGTGACGTGGTTACTAGTTTCCATTCTCCTTCACCCCTGCACTACGGAACGGAGATTCCCATGAAGGTGAAACAGCTAGGTTTTCTCTCGGGGCGAGGCTGTATATGTTATGGTTTTATTCTCCGATACGTTTTAAGGGGGAATCACTTACCGCCGACTTACTATAGCTGCGTTTTTCGATCACTACATTCTGTACTATATACTTACTCATACAAATTCAATATCTCGTATATATGTTACCATTAAATAACTGAACATTCTGCCTACCCTCAGAATATGTTAAAAGTTCCAAAGAACTGTCGGGCACCTCACTACCGATGGTCTTTGCTAAAGTCGTCTCGTTTCCCCACTTCTATTGTGGCCTCCATCATAAAGTTTCCTCTTTGGGGTTTTATAAGAAAAAAGCTTATTTCCCCAGGAGAACGCTGACGTCTTTGGAATACACTGATGACATCTTGTCGTTTGGTACTCGCGTAGTGGCACATTCAATCTTCGGTGAACTTTCTGGAGTGTTTACATTACTTGGCATATGCCTTCAGAGTGCAATTTTAAGATCAACACATGCTAAATCCCCCTCTTTATATGCGATTCCATTTAAATGGAACTCGTTCCCTGCCTGCTCCGAATTCCAGCCAATATAAGAAGCCAACACTTGAAAGCAAAATGTTTTGCAAAAACAGCTACCGTAGACGGGTACAAGTATTGTAAAAATCATGAACATTTATTGGTCAATCCAGGAATGCTCACGTTTTCGAACAGCCAGGTCAGCTGCTCTGATTGGTAGTTCAGTTCCGTTAACCACTGGAAAGGTAGGTAGCGCGTCATTCAGTGGACGAGTATTCCTGAACCAACTTGATCCTTCGGCTGTACACCATTGGTTCAAATGGTTTTCTCATTGAATTAATGTCTTATGGGAGATTTTACTTTCTACCTAAAAAGATACCTTGTGGATAATTTACACAATTTCCTAGTGAAGCTGTGTGAGCAGGATACTGTTCTAACGGACTGAAGCTGCTCCGTTATTGTCCCGATATTCAAGATGGGCTCACATTCGTAGAGGAATCAGTATGATCTTCACCGGGTCTGTGTTATTTGCTTCTGTCGTTCATCATAGATTGACTAGTACCGATGAAACCCGTATTTGTGGAGAGCGAACCCGATCTTGTCAAAGTCGGGGTTGCCTCGACCACATCTTTGTAGCACCGCCACTTAGATTGGCTACCCTTCGATTCGGTGGATCGATGTGACCTTTGGGACTGTTTGATCAGGAAAGGTGTACCCGACCAGTATGTAACTATTATCAGCGCAATACACACGTGCGTTTCGGGCAGTACGAGGTCTTATAAGAAACCGTAACCGCGCTTCATTATCTCTATCGGGTGCGGACAAGGATGTCCGCGCTCACTTTTCCTCTTCAACTTCGCGATCGACGCAGTTACGTAAACCGCGTTCTTTGGACTCGTTTTAGGTTTACAGCTGCTTCCAGTTGATCGATTTCTCGACGCCGGTGATATCGCCGTCATCTGTGACAGTTCCCAAACGTACTAAGCCGCACCAGACCAAATAACACTGGTTGTTAATTGTTTCCTGATGTACTTTGCATTATTGAAATGCAAAATCTTTTCCAAAGATAGGCAGGAACCGCCCCCGTGCTGACTCTTTGTGGGGATCAGCCAGAAGTCGTCCATAAATTCACGTACCTTGGCAGCTATATCAGTGCCTGTGGAGTGGAAGATGAAACCATGAACCGGATAGCAAAAGCTTTAAGCGCTTTTTCCATTATCTGCCACTTGTGGCGTTGGAGCGACATCACTCTGGCCCTGAAGGATAGAGTTTACAATGCAGGCGTCCATTTAACCCTAACCGTGCAGTTGTGAAATCAGGTACCATTATTTCATGTGCCAAGCTCCGGTGGCTGGACCACATGTTTCGCATGCTAGCACACCGATTCGCGAGACGTACGTTGTTTGCTCGGGATGTGGTTGGAAGAAGAGTAGGCGAAGTCAAGCGATGACTGTTGGAAAGGATGAAGACCCTCTTTTGTATTTGGCCCTGGTTGGTGCCTCCCGGCTGCCGTGTTGAGGTCCGAAAGAAGACGAACACGTTTAGTTGGAAATAACTGTTCACTTGGCCAGGATCCGACCTCAATGGCGTTTATATTGTTATTTTCCCCTCTTCCAACTACGATCACAATCCAATGTTTGCTATTATACAAAGCATCATTACTTATTTTTATTTTGTTCTCTATAGTATTTCGCACCTGATTTTTAGTACATCTTGTCTGTTTGTATTGCGGCACAATAACTGTATTTCTGATCATAGAGTTTTACCCGCAACTCGATAGCGTATCTTTGGTAACGGAGAAAGGAATCTATTAGCACACAGGGACATGTTCCAGATTCGCTAGTATCAATATCTTAGCAATGCACTAACACTACGTGCCGATATCTCCTGCCATGCAGCCATAAGGAGTTGCATTCAAGCTAGGACACTGCAAGTACCTCTATATCAGTGCAATAGAAGTGGGGGCTTGAAGCCATCAATCATTGAGCGCGCGATGCCGGCTCATTTGTGAATGATTTGTGGTCCGCTGCTCGGAAGTTGGTGATTACGAGAAGCAAACTTTATGACTAACAAAACTGAACTGTCATCCTGTGGTTTACTGGTTCACGGCCTGCTATGTTGATCGAGATTAGTTTTACTGCCATAATACTCGGAGCCGAGGCTACTGTTGCGCACGCGTTTCGCTGCTTCAACTGAATAGACATTCTTCATTTCTTTTATTTACCACCTAGTCCATAGCTTTATCGATCTTTGTTATTTTGTCTACGTCTAGACTGACTACTGGCAGCTTTCATCTCTGGATTATAATTGATTTTTGGATCCGTCTTCTATCTTATCTAGAGGGATAAACTGAAACCGATCGTCCTGTCGCGAAAAGTGGTGGGCGTACATGATTTGCTAACAATTAAACCATTCGTTAAGTCAGATGTGAATCGGGGCACACTCCGCGTTTCTTAGTGCGCATAGGTCATTAGGCATACGGGCTTGTTTCATACACGCTATGAGATCGAAGCTGCAGCCTCGCTATACACATCATGACACCTATGTTAACATGTATCGCAAGATGCAAGCCGGCACACATTATCTGTGACCCTATTCGTAGGCTTTAGGTGCCTTGGGATCATCGTCGTCAGTATACGTTAGCTGAAGATAAGAAACAACTCAACTGTTGTGCTGCGATATCAAAAAGCAAGGTACAGTGCACAAAAGAAAAGCCAAGAATGCTTTGTGCATCGAGTGTGAGATCGTGCATAGAGGGGGAAACTAAGCGTGTTAAGATTGAGAGACGCCTGATAAGATTGTCACTGGCACGATAACGGCTTGGAACGCTGGCCAATCGAACGGATTTGCGCTGACGTGATGGCGTTAACTTAGCCCAGGGTACGCGCTGGTGAGACGGAAATTGTGCGAGGGTGAGAACCTTTCTAGCTACACGCATTCAGGTAGACACTGAGCCCTCGTAACGGACGAGGCTACGCACACGAATGGGGGACATGGTAGACGCGCCCTAGTGGCCTAGACGCGAACGTTGCCCGGCTATCGCCGCACACAAAATCACGTGACCCGACCGAGTCCCAACTACAGCGACGAGGAAGCAAGACAAGTGGTCCTCGGAAGGCTCTTTTACGACCAACAAAGGGCGAAACACAGCCAAAATTACGGGTTATTAAGTTAGTGAAATTGCTACTGCAATTGGGTGGTAGTTTGTAAAAGAATATTGTCAAACTGTGCGCATTTGTGCCGCGTCTCGGAGCGGCTGAAAACTGCTACGTTGTGGGGAGAAATTGGACTCCGCTTTCCACTGCCATTATGCCGGAGTTTATGGCGCGTTTTTTGCAGGGAGATTTGACGGGCTCGCAACAAAGCGGGAGGAGGGTCAGAGATACTCCATGTCAACAAGTGTATCCAACCAGACGTGTTCGTCTTCTTTGGGACTCCAACGCGGAAATCGAGAGGTACCAACCGACGCCAAGTTCGAAGTGAAGTTCTTCATTCTTCTTGACCACAGTAGCTAAATGTTCCATCCCCCATTATATTGCCGCGAAAAGTGCCATCGCTCGATTTGGTCAAGGGGTGTGCTCATATTAGGTCCTGTTTATTCCATCAGGTGACGTTTAATCATTAACGCGTTTTCAACATAGGTTGATGATGTACCGCCAGTATCTTAGGATGTCATTTTTTAATTCAGTCTTTAGCTCACACAATTTGTTATTTACCCTCTTTCATTGTAGCACGGACGCTTAAAATGCGGGGACAGGCCTTCGTCGTTTTCGATGACGTAAACAACTCGACCACCGCACTTCGTGCTATGCAAGGCTTCCCGCTATACGAGAAACCAATGCGCATCCAGTTTGCTAAAGTAGACTCCGACCTTATAGCCAAACGCAAGGGATGTTTTGTGCCACGACCAAAGGCAGCACGCAAGGCCGCTGCTGCCCAAGCTGCGGCGGAAGCAGCAGCTGCGGCTGCTGCATTCGAAGCTGGAGGAACTCATGGAGGCACAAGTGCCCGAGCCATTCGTCGAAGGCAGCAACGCGCAGCCGCTGCTGCCATGGCTGCTGCTGGAGACGCCGGTGCTGCCATACCACCTCCGGCGAACATAGAAAGCATTGTTCGCTCAACTCCTGTGGCTCCACCGCAGCCTGCACCGATCAACCCAGCTTTGATTCCGGATCAACCACCCAATAAAATCCTGTTCCTCACTAACCTGCCTGAAGATTCCGATGAAGCGATGCTCAGTATGCTGTTCAATCAATTCACAGGCTATCGTGAAGTTCGCATGGTTCCCGGTCGGCATGACATCGCTTTTGTCGAATTTGGCAATGAGATTGAGGCTGGAGCCGCCAAACATGGTTTGCAAGGATTTAACATTCGTCCTGGGCGTCCCGTCCGAATCACATTCGCCAAAAAATAAGTATTTCGCGATGACTACTGTACTGTCTGTTCTTATAAAAACGGTTTTCACACAAGCATAATCTGTTTTCCTACATGTTCCTGAGTGCTGCCGTGTTCGCAACTATCCATCGAAGCCATCTCTCGTTTATAACCACTTCAACTTTGGTATTTGTGTAGGGCATGTACGGTGAAGCATGACTAGTATCAGCTAGCATGAAGCCCCAGTGCACCCCAAAATCTGATTTCGAGATATTTCTGGATTCGAACTATTTCCCGCCCAAACGGTTCTGTGTGAAATTAACTGAAAGTTAACAGCTTTCACGTTACATATGTTGCGCAATGCATTGCATCACTAGTCCTAATAACCACCTCTTACGACACCTTCGATTGTGTGCCGTGAAAATGCAGTGAAACCTTCGTAAGTTGACCATTCAAGGGACTTAACGAAAGTGCTCAACACACAGATGTCTGCATGCATAAGGTTTACACGGTGGACGCTTTAACAATGAAAAACAAGTAGTCCACTTAGAGAGGTGGTCAACTTCAGAGGTTTTACGGTACAGGGCGTCCGTAAAGTCAAAGCACAGGATAATTAGATATTTTCCATTAAATTACAATGAAATACAAATGTAAAATTTTAATGTATTCGTCCCAGCAGCTCACAAGCTACATAGCTCAGACACAATCCGGAAAGGCATCAGACTCATTCCGCCATGTTGGGGCTCGTCAATGGTGCGCATTTCTTCGGTCCCCAACTGGGGATCGAACCTATGACCGCTAGAGGCTGACGCCAATTAGCCAGCAGCTTAAGTCACTGAGCCATGGGGGACGGCAACCAGGCTATATAATTTGCAAGCTAACTGGCATATAGCACGACCAATCTTCCACCACTAAAATCCTCCTACTTATAAGTAATCTAAAGCGTAGCCTCCTAGTTTAAAATGCTATGGATATAGCGTCTAGTGAGAGGAAGTCATGTCCTCGGAGGCTAGCCACTGCAAAGGTAGTAACGTGAGTGGCAGTGGAAGATAGTTCGTGCTAGGTATCACTGTTGCATTGCCAGCCAATAGAGTTATACAATTTGTGAGTTGTTTTTTTCGAAGCAAACAGGTCATCGTCCCTTTTTGTATGTCGATCTGTGAACTGTGATTGGGAAGCGGTGTCGATGAGTTATTTCGATGGATTTTATCCCGGGACTCACCAACATTTGTTGCCGTCAAACTCCCTTATTGTGTTCTCCAGTTTCATCATCGTTTTCCACATTACAGAGGCGTGACGCCATTGCAACCCCATGGATATCAGACCAAATCATACACTGTATGTAAACAACTTAAACGATAGAGCGAAGAAGCTTGACTTGCGAAGAGCGCTCTATTATCTATTTGGTCAACATGGTCGAATATTGGATATCATTGCTATGAAAACGATGAAAATGCGGGGACAGGCTTTTATCATATTTCAGGATATACAATCGGCGACGACCGCTTTTCGTTCCTTACAAGGATTCAATCTCTTTCAAAAGGTTTGCATGTCACCACATTCATTCTTGTTAGACTTTTTTTAAAACTCAATCGCACTATTAGAGCTTGCTACGTGAATCCATTTCCAAATTCTTACAGTCTGTACTCACGTGTCTCGGCCCGTAGCCTTAAAGTAACAAGATTGTCTTGTAATCTGACGGCGCAGGTTCGAGACTGCGTAGGGGCAGGGCGACCCTCGCAGTATCCGTAGCCCACGTGTGTGTGTGTGTGATGGTTGCGCGGCAGCGAAGCGTCAGTACTGCCTGCTGATGCCTTGTTTTTTACGCACCTTTGAAACACTATTTGTTGTGGGTCGCTACACTTTATCGATAAACATCGCCTTTTCTGTTGATCCGAAGCTGTGCGATCCTGGCAACTTCTGACTGACTCGGTATCTAGTTTAGCATAAATAAATAGAGAATATAAACTAGCCAACTGTCGAGTGGGCGCACAATGATTTCTAACACGACGTTCTTGGTCCCATTGGGGCTGATGTGACTGGTCATTCATCGTGCCTTTGGCTACGGTCGACAACAGTGCCTACTAATTGTCAGGTCACTTCCTTTAAGTCTTGTTCTCAACATTATGGTCGTTTTACGCGGTATTCGTGTCAGTAGCAAATGAAAGGGCCATTTTGAAACACTCATTGTTTGAATGGATTGCACCGTGCAATCTCAATCTGGACTATCAATTGCCCAAGTGAACGTTGATCATTACAAGTCGAAATTTTGCGGCATGCCCCGTTAGTGCAACTAATCACGGTATCCGTTAATGAAATGAGCGGACAGTGCCCAACCTTTGATTAGTAGCGAGTGCAACTATTCGGTTCG